AAGCTATTATATTAATAGAAGTAATAGAGTAACTTATTATTAACTAATAAGTTAAAATAGAAACTAACTTAAGATACTTATTAAGTAATCTAAGCTATATATAAATATAAGTTAGGAGTTAAATATATTAATAACTATAATAGTATTACTAATAATTATTATATATCTTAATTTTTTATCTTAATAAAGCTACTATTATATCTTTAGATTAGTAAAATATATTTTATAGCTTAAATAGAAACTATAGCTAAAAAATTAGTAACTATTAATAAAGCTTTAAAAGAGATTATTATAAATATAACTTTATATTATAATAGATACTTTATTAAAACTAAATCTAAGCTATAGAATAAGATTATATTAAAGTTAAGAAGTAATAGAAATAGTAGAAATAATAAAAGTAATACTAATAAGTTTAATTTACTTCTTTACCTAAATATTATAAACTAAGTAAATATCTTATTACTACTACTATATTATAACTATATACTATTAAATTTTCTTTTCTATAACTATACTCCTATTTAGTTATTATTATTAATATTATTACTAATAAAACTACTATTAATACTACTATAAGCTAAGAAGTAAGATTTACTAATTTTATCTTCTTTACTACTTATTCCTTAAATTAAACTTATATTATAACTTCTCTATAAATATTTATAATATTTATAGAGAATAAAAAAAATAAAAAATAATAAATAAGATATTAATCTTTATACTACTCTTAATATTATCCTATAAACTTATTTTTAACTTAAATCTTTCTAAAAAGTATTAATAAATTAGTTTAAAAAGAATAATATCCCTATAAGTATTATAAAAATAATTAGAAACTAAATTAAATAATTCTTATTTAAGTAATATATTATAAATTTAATAGTAGAAAATAGTTTATACTTACTACTTTATATTATTAAAAACTAACTAATTTTTAAATAGAAAACATAATACTTCTTATTAATATTACTAAATAAGATCTTCTTACTAAATAAGATCCTCTTACTAAAATAACTAATTATATTTACTCTCTTACTATATCTCTTATTTAATTACTTAATAATAATAATAATAGTAAACTTTAATAAATAGAATAAAGTTTTTTTTTTCTTTATAATAATATAAAGATCTTAACTTTAATAACTAATAGTAATTTATCTAATAAATAAGATATACTTCTAATATTATAGCTAAAGAGAAATATATTATAATTAAAGCGTTATAAAGCTAACTAACTATTAAGATTAAATTATTTTTTTTATATTAATATTATATTATTTTAAATAAAAGAAGCTTTTAATAGTATTAAAGTTAAATATAACTATAACTATAAAATTAACTTTATAGTAAGCTTTCCTCTCTACTAATATCTTTAACTATTTTAATATAAATACTATAATAATAAAAATAATTTAAGATAGTATTAGTATTACTAGCTACTTTAAGAGTATAATTATAAAAACAATTAGTAAAAAAAGTATCTATTACTTTAAGTTATTTAAATTATATAAATTACCTCTATAAATAACTTTTAAAATCCCTAAAAAACACCTTAATAAGGTTAAAGTTTAGTAAATATATAAATAAGTATAATAACTTAATACTATATTATTAATAAGCTTCTTCTAATAGTCTCTTATTATATTATGCTATATTATTTATAATTAATACTAACTTTAAACTAAGAAATACTTCTATCTTTAGTAGTATAAAGTTCTTAATCTAAAATAAGAAGCTATTAGTATTTATATATCTAAAATAAATAATATAATTAAGAAGACTATTAATAATAAAAGCTAATAAAATATAGTACTATATACTTCTTTTTAGAATACTTTATTTTAATAACTTTATACTTTTTAGTACTTAGTTTATATATCTAGTACTACTTTAATAATTAATACTACTCTTATTAATAAAAATAAATATATTAGTAGTATAATTATAAATTAATATATATATTTCTTATATAGTTTAGTTTTATTACTAAGTAATATACTAAATCTTTTTCTTCTTTTATTAAATTTTCTTAAAATAATAAGAGATTACTAATATAGATATAAATAAATTAAACTTTTCTATAAAAAAAATTTAAACTTTATTAAAGTAGTAATTAGTTTTATTATATAAGAACTTAAGTTTATAGTTATAACGCAGCCCCCCCACAAAAAGACTACAGCAAAATTCACCCTATATATAGGCATAATTCTAGAAACACTATATAGGTACCTTAACCTATACCCTCTACTAATTAAGGAAAATAGTATAGAAACCCTATACGTTCTTACTAGTAAGTAAACTCTTATATAAAGTTAAACATACGCCCTAGCTAAATAGACTAATAGAATAGTAATAGCGCTAGCTATATAGTATAAAGCTAATAGCGCTATATATAGTAGGGCTAATTATATTAGGGCTAAAAGGGTTACTAAGGCTCTTATAGCTTAATAATGCTACTATAAGAGAGATAACTCCTTAATTAAAGAGGTTATAATGCTACTAAATAGAGATAACTCCTTAACTAAAGAGGTTATTATAAGAGGTTCTTATAGCTAGAAGTATAAAAAGCTATATAAGGCTTATACTTTTCTTTCTTCCTCTTCCTTACTTTATAACCTATAATAGATCTTTTATAATATTTATACTATATAAAGAATATAAGAATATTAATTTTATACTAAGTATATCTTTTTTTAAAAAAATAGCTAGGATTATTACTATATAGTATAATATCTATATACTAAATAAAGTTTTTAAGTTTAGTAAGTACTCTAACTTTAATTAGGAGTAGTTTATTATAGTAGTATTAAATAGAGCTTTTAAGAATACTTCTAAAAAGGACCCTTTTTATACTATAATTAAAGTAATAAATACTCCTAATAGTTTTAGAGTAGAAGCTATATATATTTCTAGCTATCCTAAGGAGTAAGCTTTCTTTATATAAACTTTCTATAATACTAAGGTAGATATAGCTTAAGCTTAAGTATAAGCTTAGTAGAGCTTAAATATTAGTAAGTACGCTTTATACTAACTAATAGAGAGAGTATTACTAATAATAGTATAGTTACTTTAAAGGTATTAGCTAGCTTAATTAAATAAGAAGACTATAATAATAGTAATAACTTACTTCTAAAGAAGCTATTATAATAGATAGTAAAGTAGTAATAAGGATAGTATTTAATAGTAGTATAGGTAATATATAAGAGAGAGGATAGGTTAATAGTTTAGTAGTCTATAGTAATTAAGTAATTAAGTAATTATAAACTATATTATTACTAAAGTGAAGTTAAAGATAGTGAAGTTATTAACTAACGTATATATATAAGTACAGCTAAGATTAAGAGAGTTATAATTATGTGACTAAAGGCTGTGTATATTATTAGGAGGCGTGGAGTTAGGAGGTCTGTCGCTCTAAGTAGGTAAAAATCATAGTGAACAGCTAGAGGCCTTATATAAGAACTTAAAGATTACCTCTTTATAAATTAGTAATATCTTATAATACTTAGAACTTACTAGTTAATATAATTTTAGTATATCTCTAGATACTTTTTATTATTAATAATAAATCTAAACTATTATAATATTATATTTAATAAACTTTATAATTACTTTATTATTAAAGTAGTAAATAAGTAGTAACTCTTTTAACTAAATTTATTATTTACTACTTAATAGTTTTAATATTATTTACTTTATAATATTAGTATAATTTTAATTAAATATAATATTAGTAAAGAGGATAAATAGTAAGAAAACTATATTATATATATTTTATATTCTTAAATAGGTTTAGTAATAAGATCTCTAGTATTAATATAGTTAAAGTATTTTATTACTAAGAGATAGAATATAGTTATATAAATATTATATTATAAAAAGAGGTTTATTAATAATATTAATAGTTAATTTATATTTAGATTTTATAATAATATATATTAATTTACTAATAATATTAATAAAATAAATAATAATAATATTATAAACTTTAAATTAATATACTTAGTAATAGTTTTATTTATTTTAGTACTTTAAGATATATACTTAAGAGGAGTTAACCTTATAAAAATAAGTAAAGCGTTAATTTATAGATTCTAGTAAAAAAAGCTCTTCTAAAGCTATTAATAATTAATTTATATAATAATTTATAATAATTAGCGTTAATTAATATGTTTTTAGCGTTAGTATGTATAAATAGGTAAAAGTAGCGTAGAGGGGCAATAAATCGCGCATTAATAGGGGTTTTAGGTAAGGCAAAGGCAAATGAGTGTAATAATAAATGGAACAGGGATATGTGCAAATTCACCACCTAGCACGCTGTCAGTGGACAACTTCCGCTTAGGACAAACCCTCCGTGACGGAGCCCGCAGGCCTCGAAGTCTCAATTTCTCGACCGTCACTTTTGCAGAGTGCATTGGTGCGTGTAAGTGGCGTGGCCAGGAGAACAGGCACTTTCCACACATCTCTGAGGAAATAGAGAAAAGAGTATGCAGTAACTAATCGAGGGCGCGAGTAACATCAGTTGCACAGAGATGCATAGGTCACACAGCGTAGGAATAGCCCTTGAGCCGCCCATCTCCGCCGGTTTCGGAGTACGAGTCCGGCGCCGCTGGCACCATGTTTGTTTCCATACCATGGTATAAAATCATGCATAAACAATCCATTGACACCGCTTCTCTCTTCATACGAGCATTTACGTGTATCTGTGATCCAATACTAATGCACTCTGCATAACAGGCATACGGACAAAAATATGACAATAATCAGGCCCAATGAGCACATTAACTACATCGTCACAACGAGGAAACCTAGTATCAGAGGGGGCTGCAAATCGGCCACCATATTGGCATAAAATACTTGCGTATACTACGTAATCCATAATTAACGCACACAGCATTATATCGCCAGGATCAAGCGCAGTGCCCAGCAAATTCTCATGGCAGCTTGGCCGCCCAGCCACGGTTAAAGTCGACATGGGACACATATCAGTTCAGCAATGCTTACACACTCATCCCGTTCACAGGCTGTCCCGACGTCAGCAACCTGCTATGTTGTCCTCAAGATATAAGATACAGCTTGTCTCACACTTTCCCTGGCCTCCTTGTATGACGGTGTATCGTTCGTGCCCGAGCTTGTCGCGACTGGCTTGACTCTCTTGGTTGGAGTGAAGGGGAGGCGTGCCATAGGAGCCATTTGCCGGGTCCGCTTCATCATGCGCTTCGCCTGCGGTGTTCCTTCGGGCACTGGTGCCGCCTCTTCCACTTGCGGTGAGGTTGTGGCACTAGAACAAGCGACCAACTGATCGTCGTCTGTCAGAGCCAAACCACGGTGAGCATCGTCGATCTTCCCATTCCCGTCGTAGATCAAGTAGCAGTTTGCCGTTCGGTCGAAGTAGAGTTCGACGTGTAAGACGGGGACCTCTGTTGAGACCTCTCCAAGCCGACGTCTCGACAGCTGTAGGAACATGCGCTCTCCATCGTGACCTTGCCGGACGCTGTCGACAGTGAATCGCCATGTTCCTTTCTTGGGGATGGGAAGTTCCACAAGGTCATAGCATCTGTCGTGGGCCAATAGTAAGCCGGCCTTGTTTCCACGGCCATGGAATGGGTCGCAGATGATCTTGAGTCTGTCCGTGCCCGACGTCGTGATGTCTGCAGAACGGTGCTTCTGAAGTGACGTAATGTTAGTTCTAAACAACTAAAAGTTGCATGGGGGTTCTCGTACCTGATTGAAAAGGATAGCGGCAGTGTCATCCCAGACCTCGTTGTTACTAGCGACTCTGCCGCCAGAAACCTGTTTAGGCACATGCAAGTCGCGTTGCAGCATCTGAATACCGAATGCCGCGCCGTTGCTCAAGTATTTATTAACCGATATTGACTTGGAAGTGGCCAATGCGGCACCTCGGGCGACATTGAAGGCTCTGTTTGTCGGTCAGCAACCTTACCTATGGTAGGGTGATGCCGTGGAATGAGACGATGACTTACGGGCTGCCATTTGCTGCATCATAAGCGAAGATGGGCTTGAACCTCAGCCCTGCGTCTTTGCAGTACTGTCGGAGCCGTCTCTGAACCTCGAAGTGCCTTGCACTGCCCCCAGTCACCACGACTCTGCACTGATGAGACGCGCCATATAGCCGCCCAAGTTCATTGATGTGTTTCTGAGTCATGTCTAGAGGAGCTTTCATAGCTGCCTCAAACGTGGCTTTGACAACCGACTCAGGAATTAAGACCGGGATAGAGTCTGAGATGTTAGCATGTAGTCTCATCTCCCGAAATGTTTCGACGCCAGATTCGGAAATCTGCTGATGAAAACTTTCCAGCAGTTGGGCACGTAAGTTTTCATCGAGAGAGGACTTCTTCCTGTCTGGTCCGTCGGGTTTCAGCGTTTCTTCGGTGCAAAACTCGCTGATGTAGGATTCCCAGTGCTCGGTACCACCGCCAGCCCCTGAATGTTGTCGTTGGTCAGCCACGTCAAGCCCATTTGACAGCTCGCGTGTCAGAGTTTCTGAGTACTTCACACAAAATCTAAACTTCCAGCTTACCAAATGGACCCCCGAGTCTGAAGAATGCTGCCGCGTCTACACATGGAGATGCTCTGGCTCTGAAGGGGCAACCGCTCTGTTGAATTGATCAGCATTTTTCGCATTAGACTAGACGTGAACTAACCATGCTGAATCCTCCAAAGTCCAGGCCGAGTACTGTAGTGTCTGCGGTCTTGGGGAAGATAGCTCGATACTTCTGTGCGTTATGCATCAAATAGTGCGCAAATGCTTCGACCTCGGTATGGAAATAGAGATTGCGCTCAAGAACCTGCTGCATCACTTTGGAGGTGAACGCGCCCTTCAGAAGAGCCTTGTACTCATCCTGCTCATCATATGTCCAGGTAGCTGGAACAGACACGCCAAGCCCAGTGACTTGCCAACCTTCTGACTTACATTTTTCTTCGACCCCCTTGGCCACAATCTTGACAATAGACTTCAATCCGTCTTTGCAGCGTTTCTTGAAATCGTCTCTCCGAAAGCAATCGTCCAGTTCGGCTCCAAGAGGGTGATTGGAGTCCAACCCTTTGCCGTCCCCGAAGACCCACTTGACCGAAACCTGTCGTCGCCCACGACACTGGGCGTCTGGACTGTATACGGGTCCGCCATCGAAAGGTGTTATTGTTGACTTGATCTGGCCTCCACCATAGCGCTTGGTTTCCCAAGCTGGGCTATTCTTGCACCAAAGCTGGTCGAAAATATGGTCATCTCCGATCCGACGGTAGAACATTACCCGCACGCCGGTGCTACCCAAATCGATTCCCACAATACTCCAACAACAACTGTGAGCTAATTGCGATGAGGTTTAATGTGTTCGATGCATACTCACACCTCCTTCGACTGGGCAGCCATGATGTGTTTGAACGGGGTACTTGTCCCGATTAGACGTGGATGGTGTGATGTGGGTTTGACACAGATCGATGGGAGGATGCTGGATGTATTGACGATGGCGCGGAGTGGAATATGCGGAAATAACGAAAAAGGGGCATAAACCAGCTCTACGATGCTGCAGGAAGTTATGCAATGGAATGTGCAAGTCGGAGCAAACGAATGTATCATCCGGCTTGCATGTGTGACTCCCAAAACAGTGATCAACCGTTCAGCCACAGGGTAGAGCCTTGAAGTAGACTACAGCAAGACACCAGATAGTTGTCGGGAAGGGAGGGGCATGAGGCTATTGTACTGCCAGCTGATCGACCCTGATCGCTCTGAAGTCACTGAGATGGGTGATACTGTCTCATTTGATACGTACGAGTCGAGGCAGGTGTGATTCTACTTAAAGGAATTGGCACCAGTCATGGCGCCGTGACAGCGGAAAGCGTTTGTAACCTGTCGCGGCTTGCTATAACCGGGCTGCCACTTGACTGGCTGTGTTGGAGACCGATGGGTACTTCGTAACAAGGACTGGTAGCCATGGATTAGTGTCAGTACATGATGCATGAACTAGGGTTCGCAAGCAAACATCCGCAAGACAGCCGAAAGTGGTTACATGCAGGCCTGAGCATGGCCCACAGGCATGCTCGACCAACAATCACCCAGCCGCCCGGCTTCCCTGGCTCTGCTCAATTTTCTCAACTTGGTCTGGCTCACACACACTGCGTACAGGAAGTTCATTGTTGCCACCTGGCTGAACAAAACAACATCCGACGTGGAAGTAATCACGTCGACAAGTTAAGAACGACTGCTCTAGCAGCACCTCTGTATTTTGTACAGGTCATCATCGAGAGCTCAAAATATTACAAGAAGAACAATTTCACCTAGCGTCATTTTGAGGCGCTATTCTCGCTAGCAATGCCCCTATGTCATCATATGTCACCCGGCTCCGTACGCTTGTCTCCTCCTCTGCCTTGACTGTGGCTTGTGTTGTTTCCGGATACTTCTACCTTCTTTCGCAACTCCCTGACTGTTGTGCCACCGTTTCCGCCCTTTTTCTTAGATTGGAATTGCTCTTTGCCATTCTGTGTTGATATTTCGAGCGGCTCATTTCGAGACTCACCTTGACGCGTGGACACGGCAGAGAGAGTATCTACATGGCGAGCTACATCTGCTTTGGAGTTGGCCGTAATCTCCCGATTCTTGTGAGAGCCAATCCCCGAAAAAGGTCTGCCTTCTACGCATTGATCAGACAATGGCCATGGCTTGTATCAAAATAGAGCAGGAGACGGGGAAATCGTTTCGAAGGTTTTGACTTCCGCTTTCCAACAGCACCCTCAAGTTCGTCCCGCTGGACGACCAGGTATGTCTCATCACCGAAGTCCTCCAGGTTTAGCGTGAACTTCCAGTGCCCAGACCGCGGTTCTAGGAGGTCTATGGAGTCATAGCATGAACTCACTGGGACGAAATCCCATTAGCCGTCCTTGGCTTGTACAGATGGATGACAGACGATCCATAGCTTCTCCCCTTTCGTCATATGCACGTCTGTTGGCCTGCTCATATTCCAGAAGAGGGTATTAGCGACTTTTCGTAGCCTGAGGCGGCGGCGGCTCCCTTCACACCATGCCTTCTAAACGTCCGCCTCGATTAGATGTTCGCTTCCGTGCTTGATGCAACTAGTCGCGTCAAAGGTTGACATTTCAATGTCCCACTAATTTCTGACTTACCTACTTCTTTCCACCACCTCCATAGCTTTTCTTGACACCTCACGACGGGCCGACCTGACACCAGCCTATACGCTGATGTAGAAGAAGTGGCGCCCTCCACGGAGATCCAAATCAGATGCCCTTGCCAACGGTCTCCATACTACTGATATAAGAGGTCCGTTTTCAGCCGAGGCAACATCGATCTGTCCAAGAACGAAAAACATCTGGCGCTGACAAGAGAATGGGGAGAATCTGCCCTTCAAGTGTAATATGGACTTATTCTAAGGGCTTTAGGTCCTATAACGTATATTCGTTGCCAATGCGTTCCGTCTATCTAGAGATTCTGGCCCAAGCATACGTATTACGGGGAGTTTTCGAGGAATACTACATGCGCATGGAATGAATGAGTTACAACAAAACGAAAGAGAAGGCTCATTTAAAAGCTACAAAACATCACGCCTTGCGCGCAGTGAACCAACCATCAATAGTTGCATTACCGTCTCCAGTTCAAGCGATGAGCCGGCCCCCAAGATCGCATTAACCTGCTAGTGCACCTGTTCACAGCCGCTGCAAATGGTCTTAACTCATCCCGTACCGCTTCCCTAGTTGCTTCAGAGCTTCGTATGGCGTTAAGTGAAAACCATCCGTTCTCGAAGACGACGTAGCGTGGGTCTGGCCAATATCCCCTGGCTGTGTGCTTGCCTTTTGACACCTATGAGGGCGAGCTTCCGTATCAGAATCACTACTAGACGAATATTCTGAACTTTCAACGAGAGCTTGTGTCGTTTGTGCAGAAGGAGCCGGGGCCTTCCTCTTGAACGGCGGCAAGTGCCCTGAAGGCTTCACCCCGGGCACTCGGGGATGGGGTCTTTTCCTTTTGACACCCGCAGCACTTTCCTCCCGGACCATATGTTGAACCTGCTCATCTATGGCTTCCAGCGGACAAGCCTCAAGCCTGCCATCTCCCAAGAGCCTGAGGCCGCGGCCCTCATCGTCCACATCTACGTCCAGGAGACAGCAGTTTGACGTGCCATCGACGTAAAGTGGAAAGGAATGCTGTATTTTGGAGCCCCCGTGTGGTTTTCCACTTTTTCCCAGACTTTCGAGTTCCATGACAAGTGTCTTGGAAAGACCGTCCTTGCCGAAACTGAGACGATACCCCCAATATCCCTTAGGAGGTTGTGGCAGTTCGAGAACATCGTACGATCGGTCGATGTCTAATGTTCTGCGTTTCCCTTTGGCGCCCTTCTTCAGGAAAGGGTCGCAAATAATCTTGAGCCTGGTTTTACTTGTACACCATGTCTTGAAATATTTGGAAGATTGCTTGTCAAAGTAGGAAGAGTCAGTAATATGAATTTTGTGCGTGGGAACGAGGAATATCCACTAACAGAATCAAGAGCAACAGCCACGTCAGACAGCCAGTCGATAGCCGGGCTGCAATCACTTTGTCGTGCACCCGGCTTGAGAATACTCTTGCGGATTCCAAAAGCAGCGCCGTTGCTCACAAACTCTTCGACAGATAATGTGTATGCCGCCGCATGCGCGGCCCCATTGGCGACATTCCATGTTCTTTTGCAAGAATTAGTCGCCGATTTGAGTCAATACAGACTGGGATGTAAACTTACTCCTTCGCACGTGAGCCATTTTGTGCGAAATAAGGGGGTTTAACCCCGACTTTCTCGCACGCTTCCTTGATCTTTGCCTGCACAATTGAGTTCTGACCACTTCCACCGTACACCACCACACGAACATCGTATTTCAACGAGGCAGCTCGGGCAATCTCTTTGGCTGCGCGTTCAAGGGGCTCCCTCATGGCTTTCCAAAAGCATTGCTCGGCCTTCTCAGCGGGGACGGTCAGAAAGTGCCCCCCGTCATCATCCGTGTAAGAAAGGCTCAATGCCTCGATTTTGTCTGCCTTGGGCTTCTTGATAGTGTGGTGAAAGATCCGCAAGATGTCTTCTAGTGCATTGGGGGGAAGAGGTGCGTTTCGTTTCTTCTCCAGGGTTTGGACTGCAAATGCAGCTATCTCCTGCTCCCAAATTTGAGTGCCACCTCTTTCAACTAACATTGTCAATTAAATTAGCTGACCACGGACGACTACTATTAATAAAGCTCAAAACTTACCGAAGGTTTTCCCCACCAAAAAGTAACTTAAATCATCATGGTCCCGTCTTGCGACACAGTGCATACATCCATTCTGTAATCAGTTAGGAAACAGACAGAATACCCAGAGGGTTTGACAATACTTGCCAGAGTGTGGCCGCCAAAGTCAATCGTCACCAATAGGGGCGGTTGGTCGGTAATGGGGCCCATGACGGCATCGCTTTGTGTAATGGTTGAGAAGAGATTGTTGGCGGCGGCCAAACATTCCTCATGAAACACAATTTGAGGCCGAACCTGGCGCAGACACTCATCTTCAAAGGTGGATAAAACCTCCCTGACGAGTCTTTCATACTTCTTCCGCTCAACCTCGGTCCAGTACGTAGGGTATGCCAGGGCAATCTCATCGACGTAGAATGGGCCACCTTTCGTCGTTTCGTTGCAATCCCGAACAACCTGCCTGAAAACAGTCTCAATGATCTTCTTCAGTCCTGTGTCGATACGTTCCCACATCGTCTTGGCCCTTGGACCACTGAGTGCTGCTTTCACAAATTCATTGTTGGTCATGGGCACTTCGGCGAAGAAGGGCTTGGAGGGTGTTGCCACACGGTTGAGATCTATCCGTTCGCCCAAGTACACTCCATCTCCGTCGTCGTTGAGGTACAAATATGGACAGAAGCCGCCTTCTTGGTATCGCTCATCATACCAAGGATTGGGGTGTTGGTTCCAGACCTCTCGTAAGAGCGCCCCCTGATGACGAGGGTAAAGGGATGCACGAACTGCGGTGCTTCCCCAGTCCTTCGACAATATCCTGCGACAGGTGTTAGCTGACTCTCAGTTTATTGTCAACTGTTTGATGTAAAAGTGAGGGACTACTGACGTTGGCTTGCGCCGTTGCGGCGAACAGTTCGCCATAGCTGCCCAGGCTATCAAGGGGTTGTCGTTGAAAAGCCTGAAAATACTGGCCGTGTCTCTCCACGACAGTGTCAACTGAAGATAGAAGCCACTCCCAGGTTTCGAGATTTTAAAGCGAAAAACGAATTCTTTGGCAGCATAGGAGAAACGAGGAGCATCAGGAGAGCAGGCCTCTCAAGAAGGCAAGAAGAATGGATCGCTTGTGCAAGCAGTCCAAGTGGGGCAAACATTCGGACCGATGCCTTCATCTACGTCGCAAAAGCTAACGTATTCAGCTGTCCTATTTTTGAATATGAATGGCATTCATGAATGAATGGGGCTATGCAACCAGGGTAAGTACCTCTTACTTTTTAGTCTACGCACGTTGTCTATGCTAAGGTCCAGGCCTCAGGGCCCTTGTATCTTGTTTGCTAATAGACGCATCGAAAGAATGCAGAGCAAACGCCAAGGTGTTTAATCCCCCCCTGTAACGCAAACAGACAAAGCATTGTGGTACTTCCATCGTCCGCCGTCTGGTACGCATTCGTCCTCGCTGTTGTCCATTGTAAACCCTCCGTTTCTCCTGTCTATGATAAAAAACAAATTTCGAAGAACTTCAGCTTCCTAAATTCTAGATTCTTTCACTGTGTTCATTCAGTTCTCTAATCAACAGCGCTTGTCTTTTGAAAATGGCACTGGTCAGAATTTCTCCAACTCCCCGAGCCTCTTCCAGCCAGCTGTGCTTGCCTCAAGTGTCTCCTAAGACCATCATGAGTGTTGACTCCCGACTCAAACGGGCTGACGACGGAATCACGCAAGGCATGACGAACCGACTCAACAAACTTATCCGTGATACAGAGGACATCAGACGCAAGACGCTGGAGTCCGCTCTAGCTGATATGCCCCTCGACTTTGAGGAGCAGGACAGACCGTGGGTTGTTGAACGCATTAAAGACAGCTTTCGGGTCCATTTTTCCCACATCCACTACGATACTCTCGACGGCTGTCCTCTGGTATCTTATCATTTAGGGAGGGACAAGCCGTCTACATTCCAAAAGTCGGTGTCTTACCTTGAAGGTACGATCAGGACTGAAGATGTTGTATGTTCATGATTTCAATTCCTCGTATCTGGTCTCTGTAGCTTGTCTTAAGGTATGTCTGTTGACAACGTTTAGCCTGCTTCATCGCATGTCGATCCAATCCAACAGCAAGTGGGGATAAGCGGCTCTGTGTCGGAGCGTTCAACATGGTCAGTACTAAACAATCCCTACCCCGAAAAGCCTAGATTAACCTGGGGCTGCAACTCTAACATTGCCGTCACAAAGTAACCCTGACCCAGAAAGGTCCAAACGTCAACTTCGGCGCTCAGACGTGTCGGATGGGGGGCCACGCAAGAAAGCACGAATTCCATCAAGAGGAGCTGACTTGAATCGCCCTGTGCGCCGTTACATTGTCGAGGCCCGTTACAATGAGAGCTGGGTATTCTCATATGTTACCAATGGCGTCCAAGAGCATTTCATCCTACGTTGTCCTGTTTCCGGTTGTCCCGATCGCAGCTTCAGCCAGAACCCAATTGAGAGTGGTTGTGGGATCACACACTTGCGAGACCACGGTATAAAGGTCGCCGACGAAGACGACCTCGTGCACAAATATGCGCGCCGTAGTAAGTCTGACACGGATGAAGGCTCTTTTTTGGGTTGAGCCCTCCACTAACAATTTCTTCAGTGATCATTCGCGACGAAAGCGAGACTGGGTCTATTTCACAGTCTTGGGTGGAGGAACATAACAAAGCCATAGGCGAGCCTTATGACACCGCAGATGGCGAAGACTGTAACTCCAAGTCTGACGTCGACGAGGACATCAATGAGCTGGGCCAGGATGCGATTCCCTCGCCAAGGGCTCTCGGCTCAACGAAGTCGGAGTTTGAGAAGACTGGAATTGCGGAAATTTCTGTACTTGAATATGGAGGTCTGGGGAACTGAAGTCGGCCGTGACAAGCCAATCTGGCCGACCAGCATTACATATGTGCGCGGTCTTTGGTGAAACAGGTTTCGAATTTCCCATTGTCTGCGTCTTTTCGTTTCTAGTCTATGAGGTTGGTACACTACACAGAGTCTCTACTCATCTGCGTTACACTTCTTCCACATCAATATTTTTACTTTGCACGGTTCTTCCACATGTGATTAATGCCTACGTATTACCGGAAGAACCGGCTACAGGCACTCCGAGGATTAGGGGCTGCAGAGTAATTATAATTTGCTCCAGCTCAAGCGGAAATCGCATAACCATCCGGTCTGGCTGCATAATAGGAAGCAAGAAATCCGCACTCTGACCCCTATTAATTATTCAACGTAATTGTCATTGGTCAAGTCTCTGGGAGAAGCTGTGGATTACTAAGATTTATAATATAAGGCCTCGGCTCATAAGGAAACCAAGACAGTATCCATACTCCAGCTGGGCCTCCGCTGCGTTATTGCTATTGACACCTGAAAGCTATTAATGCCCAAGTCTATCGTCTTCATAGCCGTGCAACTTGTCTGTTCATTTGCTAGAATTTATTTTTTTCTTCACCTTTTATTAAAAAAAATCGCCAAGTTCTTACGGGGAGGGAGGCGCGCTATTGAGATGCGACCTGAAGGGGGCCGGCCGGTCGGCCCCACATCGGACCACGAGCCCGGAGCTCATCCAAGTGGGTGAGGCTCGCCCATTACCGTCGAAACCCCATAGCGACGACGGGCAAGTTGAGTAAATGCCCCAGTCATTATGAATCTTCTTGAATTCGACGAGTGGGCAAGGACAGCCGCTAATACTCCTGACCGGAGGCGTGCTGTTGATAGGCAGCGCCACTGTCTGCGGCCAAACACCACACATTTCAAGAGAGGTTGCGGCAACCGCCCAGGCAGTCACGACTTCCCTAATATTAATTATAACACGTTTTTTAATTATGCTGTTAGTCTGTAGGCGTCTTCAAAAAAGTTGTGAGTTAACGCTTTTGTGGATAAATTACACCCTCATCGTCCCGCGCTATCATCCCACGTATAAGTAACCACCCAACTAAACAGCCACATTCACGGGCACTCTTCAGTCTTTGACCGCCATGTAATTCGCATGGGGAATATGGGAGTGGCTTGTCCTAAGGTAGTACAAATCCTTGAGTCTCGAAGTTTCAAGCGCTACCTTGTATATATTTTAGCACTCTGGGAGTGATCATCACTTTTAAAAACCCTTGAAAACCTTCCTGGCAAACGTCTCCCTTCCGCTTTCAACATCGTCATACCTCTATCCGTAGGATAGGGGTTCGCATCGTGCCGTTCCGCCATCCGCCCTCGTTGCCCACCTTCGTTGCGTATCCTCCTCCATGCTCATTACTCCTGCTCGTGATCCTCCATAGCAGTTAGGATTAATGGCTGACCTTCCACCATTACCATCGTATCTCTTCATCAAACTTATATCGATTCCTCTGGGGTCTTCCTCACCATGCGTTCATTCTGAAACCCACGAAACACAACGACGGATGGATCCAACGCCAGCCGCCTAGCCTATCCCTTGGCTCCTTACAATCACCAATCGCTAAAGTGGTCCTGGTTAAATGCCCCTCTCAATCACCTCAAAAGCCTCTGCAAAGCCAGGCTCCCTCTTAGTCTCCTTCCAAAGTCTCTCCTTCAAGCCAGCACCCTCCGAGGTGTACATGATCGCCGGCCAACTATACTAAGTCAGTCACGTGTTCTACACGACATAGGCATCTCCTGGGCAGTACTTACGGTTTGATCACTCCATCGGAGGTAAAGCTTCCATGGCTCTCAGGCCCCTTTACCAGCGCCGCATCGAGGTAGCTCCGGGCCCCAATCTCTACACTGCGGCCTAGCGTCTTCTTGAATAGCCCCGTAAAGAAGGTTTCCGTCGCTGGCTTGATGATGTTGGTGCCGGCCGTGAGCCCTGAGTTGGCCAGGTTCACAATGACCTGATCCGGGCTAACATACGTCGCCAGCTTGTCCATGAACAACTGCCCAAGGAATTTTGAGTTCTGGTAGTTCTTCGCCGAGCCCCACCGCCTCTCCTTGTCGGCGGGCTTGAATAGGGACCCCGTCACCATGTCCTCCTCCGGCGTGTGCCAGTACGTTGTGTCCGAGCTGACGATGACCAGCCTGCCCGGCTCGCCCGGCGGCTTGTTCTCCTTCATAATCGGCAGCAGCAACATAGCCTGCAGCGCCGTAGAGAGGTAGTTGACCTGGAGCATCAGCTCATGACCCTCCCGCGAGCGGGTGAAGGTCTGTGCGACAACGCCCGCGTTAAGGATCACGATGTCGATCCGCGATAACTCCTTCTTGCATCGCGTCGCAAAAGCCCTCACGCTGTCATACGACTCCATCTCGAGATGCCACACCTCAATCTGCGCCATGGGGAACTCCCGTCGCAGGCCCTCGGCGAGGGCATCGCCCTTCGTCGTGTTCCGCACCCCCATGATAAGCCGCCCCAGCTGCCGCTCCAGGAACTGACGGCTCGCCTCCAGGCCGAGGCCGCTGCTGGCGCCGGTCATGATGAGAGTCGCGTCGGACAGGTCGAACTCCAATGGGATCTCGGCTGGCGTGATCATGGTCTGCCGGTAGACGAAGGCCAGCGGGTTGGCCTCCCAACCGGCCTGCTCGGCCAAGGTGTTGGACATGCTGGGCTGTTGCAATTCGAACCTCTACTGCGACCTTGGTTATGCGGGGGCGATTGGATTTTCTGTCAGGATGGCGAAATTGGCAGATTGGCGAGAAAGCTTGTCAGCTTGTCGAGGTCGGAAAAAGTGGCGGCTACGAGGTGACGTTTGGCAGATGAAGTACCCTCCCGGAGGACCCGTTAATTATGGGGATGAGAAACATAAAACGAGATTGCGCGCCCGCCCTTAGCTCGATTTTCCCGACAGGAGCGTTTGTATAGGACCGGGGCTTGTTAATAATATTTGATGTCATGCTCTCTCTCACTCATCCAACCCGCCTCTTCGATGTCAGGGTCGGGGGGTTTGAGGGTGGGCAGCA